TGATGGGCTCGAGTATAGCAGGGATTGTGGGGCTGGCGCGGGATCGGGCAGTGTTTCGTTCTGCTGTGCATGGGGTCGCTATGAGTTGGAAACGACTCGACGGCACTTAACAACAACAACAACAATCTGTCAGTTTGTCATACTGTAGTGGTTTGTGTGTTGCTAGGATTGGGTGATCTACTTCCATAGAGACACCACCTCAGAAACCCAAGGAGGGGTTGTTATGAGTCAGAAATGATTCGATGGCAGTGATTTTGGTTTTTTGGTTTGTGAGGTTGCAGGCTATGCCACCTGTATTTCAAATACCAGTATACAGCTTTGAAGGGAACTTCTAGACTAAGACAAACTGGGAAGGACAGGGGCATCCACTTCTGAAAAAACTGGCATTGAAAACTTATGAAAAGCAGTGAAACCCTGATATAATGCCAGAAGATGAAACCCTCAAGTTGGAAGTCACTCAAAATACAACTGGGAAGAGCTGCCTTCTCAAAGTTAGAGTCAATCTTAATGACATGGATGGAGTAAAGCTTTCAGGATCTTCATTTGCTGATGGTACACATCTCCAAATGGGAAGAAACAGCTACAAACATTCATTAATAATCAGAATGTGTAATGTACAAAGTATGAATCCAGGAAAACTGGAAGCTGTCAAAAATGAAATGGAACTCATAAAGATTGATATCCTGTGCATTACTGAACTTAAATGGACTGGTACTAGCCATTTTGAATCAGATAATCATATGATCTACTATGCTAGGAATGATAAATTCAAGAGGAGTGACATTGCATTCATCTTCATAAAGAACATCTCAAGATCCATCCTGAACTATGATGCTATCAATGATAGGATAATATCCATACACCTATACAAGGAAGATAGTTAATACTACAATCATTCAAATTTGTTAACCAACCACTAAAGCCAAAAATGAAGAAATTGAAGATTTTTACAAACTTCTGCAGTATGAAATTGACCAAACAGGCAATTAAGATGTATTGATTATTATTAGTGATTGGAATGTGAAAGTTAGAAACAAGCAAGAATCATTGATAGCTGGAAAATACGTCCCTGATGATACAAATGATGCCAGGATTGCATGACAGAATTTGGCAAGACCAATGACTTATTCATTACAAATACATTTTTTCAACAACATAAATGGTGGACCTCACCAGACAGAATATACAAGAATCAAATCAACTACATCTGTGGAAAGAAGCAATGGAAAAGCTCGATATCATCAGTGAAAACAAAGCCAGGAGCTGACTGTGGAACAGACCATCAATTGTTCATATGCAAGTTCAAGTTCAAGCTGAAGAAAATTAAAACAATGAGAGCAACCACTGAGATGTTTCAACAAATGGATGCTGTGCTAGAGATGCTTATTCACTTTTGCCAAGAAATTTGGAAGATAGGCAAACGATGGCCAAAGTGTGACCTTGACTATATCCCACCTGAATTTAGAGACCATCTGAAGACCAGAGAAGTTGTGGATGACATCAAGAACATCATATACAAAGAAAACAAAAGGTCATTAAAAGGGCAGGAAAGGAAGAAAACACTAAAACAGATATTAGAAGAGACTCTGAAATTTGCTCTTGAACTGAGTAGCTAAAGCAAATAGAAGACATGATAAAATCAAAGAGCTACACAGAAGATTTCAAAGGGTGGCTTGAGAAGACAAAGTATTATAATGAAACATGCAAATACCTGGAGTTAGAAAACCAAAAAGGAAGAACACTCTCAGTATTTCTCAAGTTGAAAGAAATGAAGAAAAAGTTCAAGTTTCAAGTTGCAAAACTGAAGGTTTCTATGGGAGAAATATTGAACAATGCAGGAAGTATCAAAATAAGATGAAATAAATACACAGAGTCAGTGTACAAAGAAGATGGTTGACATTCATCTATTTCAGGAGGTAGCATATGATCAAGAACCAATAGTATCGAAGAAAGAAGTCCAAACTGCACTAAAGAAACTGGCAAAAAAATAAGGGTCCAGGAATTAACAGAACACCCATTTAGATGTTTCAACAAATGGATGCCATGCTAGAGGTGATTTCTCATTTAAGCCAAGAAATTTGGAAGCTACCTGGCCAAATAACTGGAACAGAGTGTGTGATCCAACAGAATGTGGAAACTAACAAATAATTCCATTAATTACACACACAAGTAAAATTTTGCTGAAGATAACTCAAAATGGCTGAAATAGTATATTGACAGGAAACTTTCAGAAATTCAAGCTGGATTCAGAAGAGGATGTGGAATGAAGGAAATCAATGCTGATGTCAGATGGATCTTGGCTGAAACCAAAAAATATCAGAAACATGTTTCCTTGTGTTTTATTGACTATGCAAAAGCATTCGACTGTGTGGATCATAACAAATTATGGATAACATTGCCAAGAATGAGAATTCTAGAACACTTAATTGTGCTCATAAGGAACCTGGTACATACACCAAGAAGCTGTCATTTGAAAAGAGCAAGGGGATATTGCAGTTAAAAATCAGGAAGAGTGTGTATCAGGGTTGTATCCTTTTACTATATTCAATCTGTATGCTGAGCAAATAATCCGAGAAGCTACAGTATATGAAGAAGAATGTAGCATCAGGAATGGAGGAATTAACCACTTGCAATTAACAACCTGCTCATTAACATGATACAGCCTTGCTTGCTGAAAGTGAAGATGTCTTCTTCAAGCACTTACTGATAAAGATGAAAGTCTTTGGCATGGATTAGATCTCAACATAAAGAAAACAAAAATCCTCAAAACTGGACCAATAAGCAACATCATGATAAAATGGAGAAAATATTGAAGTTGTTAGCGATTTTATTTTACTTGGATCCACAATCAACACCCATGAAAGCAACAGTCAAGTTTCAATAAGATGGCAGAATAGGCAGACAAACTACAGAGACGCTCTTCAACAAAGAAAAACCAATTGACAGAGATACAGATGATA